GCCGTCTTCACAGTATCAGCGACCCCTACCCCAGTACCAGCAGCAGGCCCCTGCCGCGCAGGAGCCAGAGGGCCACGCCCGTTGCATATCAAGGTCAACAACCCTGCATTCAGCGTAACCGCTCCTACAATACCAAGTGTCACAACCTTTACCAATTTTACCAACGGTCAACCTCCAAGTCGAATAGTCAAGGTCAACAACCCATACAAATACAACAGGTCAACCTCCGTACATACAAGAGTCAACAACCCATACACATACAAGGCAACCTCCGTGAAGGGCAGACGCGCGCACTGCGAACCCTCTCAACTGCAGCGCTGCCAGGAAATCTTCAGCAGACGCCGAGGCGTGATTCGGCTACCACTCGGCACCGGCCCCCAGGACTCGCGCAGCACGGCGAAGCTGACCCGGCAGCAGCAGCGCCACCTACGCAGCGTACGGCGGACCGAAGGCAGCAAGCAACCGCTGCACGCTTCCGACCTTCGGTCGATGCGCAAGCAGCAGCGCCAGACAAGCTAACACAGGTGGCGCGCCACGTGCAGCAGCCTCAGGACAGTCTAGGACAGGCTGGGCCACTGCAGCCAGGCCGAGCGCGATCTGAGCTCTTGCAAGCGCAAGACCCAAGCACGCTGCCCCCTAGGTCCAGGGACATCTCAATATGCACCAGGCACCACGGTGCGGACCCACCGTGACCGCCCGTTGGAACAGGGACCTATCTAATATGCACCAAATCAGCCAGTGCGGACCACGTGACCCTGTTGTCAACAGGACATCTCAATATACACCAACGCCCGTGCGACCCACGTGACCCCCGTTGTCAACAGGTACCATCTCAATATACACCAACAGCCAGTGCGACCCACGTGACCCCGTTGTCACAGGGACCATCTCAAATATCACCAACAGCCAGTGCGACCACGTGCCCCCGGTCCACAGGGACCATCTTCAATATGCACCACAAGACCGGCCAGCTGGACCCACTGTGACCCCCCGTTGCCCAACAGGCGACCATCTCCAATATGCACCACAAGACGCGTCATGTGACCACGTGACCCCAGATTGTCGCGCAGCAGGGACCTTCTACAATATTCACACAAGCCGGTCAGGTGGAGCCCACGTTGACCCCCGTTCGCAACAGGCGATCATCATCAATATGCACACAAGCGCGACAGTGTGACCAACGTGACCCCGTTGCCACAGGGATCATCTTCAATATGCCACTCACAAACCGTCTCAATGTGACCACGGTGACCCAATCTTGTCGAAGCAGCAGGAACCTTCTCAATATTCCCACAAGCGGTCAGTGTGACCCACTTAACCCAACTGTCAGGCCGCCAGCAAGGCGACCATCTCATATTCTCAGCAGACAAGGCATGCGACCCAACGTGAACCCCCGCCTGTTCACAGGGACCGTCTCCAAATTCTCAAGAACAAGCGCGACCCACGTGACCCCGGCTGTACAGTGGACCGTTGCTCAAATTTCCCAAGAACAAAGGGACTAGCGAACCCACGTGTACCCCCGCTTAACCAGGACGCCGTCTCAAATCTCAAGGAGAACAAGGTGCGACCCACGTGACCCCAGCTTGTCAACAGGGACCGTCTCAATTTCCAAGAACATGACTGCTGCCCACCGTGACCCGGCTGGCACAGGAGCCCGTCTCATATTCCCAAGAACCAGGACTGCGACCCAGCGGTGACCCCCGCTGGTCAACAGGCGTCCGTCTCAAAATCTCAAAGAGCAAGACTGGCGACCCACGTGAGCGTCAACGGCATCGTATCGAGACCAAGAGGACCATACGGCAATGCATCTCAGCAAGAATGAACGATGTCTCACCAGCGTGGGAACGCCTCAAACAAGTGGCCGGAGGAGAGGAGGAGGAGGAGGGAGGAAGAAGAGGGGAGGCAGGAGGAGGAAGCCACGCGCGGGGACGTGAGATGGAAGCGGAGGGAGCGCACCACCTCGTCGCGGTCCAGCGGTGGCCGGCGTGCGACCCCCGCGATCCCGCCGTGCAGCCCGGACGGACCAGCGGTCCGACGCTCCCTCCGTTCCCGCAACACGACGCCGCGGTGCTGCATCTACCAGAGAGAGCAGAGTCTGAGGACAGAAGGAACAGCCGGCGGACTGGCGGCGCGCGGGCCAGCGTAGCGTTAGCGCGGTAGTGGTGCGGTAGCGGTAGCGGTAAGTGGAGATAGCGGCAGAGGTAGCGGAGCGTCAGCTACAGCCGTCGTGAGCGCACCACGGAAGGCGGGCTTGCTGCACGCTGCCACGGCAGAGTAACCTCTTGCCGTATCAAGTCTTCACAGGAACGGCATCCACATCGCTCCAGACAGAGGAAGCAAGCACGCGGCAGGGCAGCGGAAGATGAGAAACCTGAACGACGGCGGCGCTAGGCATGCAGCACGGAGACTCGAGCGCCAGCGGGCGGAGGGAAAAGCCCAGGCAGGTAGGCGGGGAACAACATGCGGGACAGCCCGGCAGGGGCGGGGAAACAACATGGCGAAGCACCAGGGCAGTGAGGCGGGGAACAACATGGGGAGGCCCAGCAGCGGGGGCGTGGGAACAACATGGAGGAGGCCGCAGCGGGGGGGGGAAACGATAGGAGGCCCGCGGCGGGTCGCGGCGCGAAAACAACATGAGAAGGCCCGCAGCAAGCGGGCGGGTAAATAATATGGAGGCCGCGGCGGTGGGCGGGGAATAGCATGAGTGAGGCCGCCAGCGGGGCGGGAACAGCATGGGAGGCCCGCACAGCGGGGAGCAGTAGCGAGAAACCTCTAGGGGGTGGGGGTCGGGAGCAGCGAGACGAGCAGGCAGCGGAGGAAAGCCCTGTAGCGGGAGGGCGGGGGCGACCGTCCCGTAACGTCGTCAGCTTAACGACGAGGAGGAGACCCGTCGGCAATCAGCGATTTGCTCGCCAGCTGATTCGGCAATTAGCGAAAGGGTCTTCTGAGGCCCGGTTGCCATAGCGACGCCCCTGGCTAACTATAACGCTCCCATTACTAATGTTCTGTCAGAGCAGATATACGCGTCTGTTACTGGCAATAGAGGCAAATACTCTGTTACCTGGCAATGGAGGTATAACTCTGTTACTGGCAATGCAGCAGACTATACTCTGTTACTGGCAATGGAGGCCAATACTCTGTTCTTAGGCAATGAAGGTATAACTCTGTTACTGGCAATGGAAGTATACATTCTGTCTGTTATTGTCAATGCAGATATAACACATTGTTACGTTTCATAGAGATATACACACAATTAATGTTAAACAGATATATTAATCTGTAATTGTCAGATGCAGATTATATTATATTATACGTGTTGTTACTATCAGGGGGAGTGTAACACGACTTCCACATTTGTAGCATAGAAGTCAACAACATGGGCCTATGTATCACTTTTAGGCTCTATAGATCATTGTAAAAAATACGCACGTTTTAAAAGTTATTACCTAATTATATATATTATGCGTTTCTGTTATAAAATGACTATCTAGATTTATTCTAGCCTAATAACTTTTATATTGATATATGCCAAGATAAATAAAATGTTTCAATAAAAAAAGGTGCGTTTGTATACTTTAGTTGCTTCCACAGAACGCACGCACAACACGCACACACGCACACACGACACACGCACACCACGCGCACACGCACACGCACACGCACACGCGACACACACACCACGCACCACACACGCGCACACGACACGCACACACGCACACACACAGCACGCACAAACAGCGCGCACACGACACCACACGCAACATATACGCTTACGCGTAATGCTTTGATCGAGTCTCCGCATATCTGGTAACATTCATATGTCTGATTCACAAGCGCGCGCTATACATTACAAAATATCATAACGAAATCAGCGCAGATGCGATCAATATATAGTCTCTAGATACGATGTCTAGTATCTATCATACACTCCGCAGGAAATATATCATCAGGGAATACAAAGGATAGTGGATTCTATTCTTGGACGTGTTGCTGGCATGCAGCAGCAATATTTCTACGTATACCTTTGGCCTTTCATAGCTTTTGCATCAGTGCCCTGCTTTCTAACGAGTGCTAACCATTTTAACACTAACTGCATTAATATAGTTACTGGCTCTTAGTTATGTTCTTTTGGATGACATGTTTTTTCTCTATCGCTTTTTATGTTTATTGCGGAATCTACACGTGGACAAGACAAATCTATCGTTTCTCTCACAGTATGACGTCACGTTTAAACTACCATGCAGACCTATAGCTAACCGACTAGCACTGCATAAACACGAAAGGTGTATAATCACATGATATATAATATTAGGTAAAGTCGACAAGATCACTAGATTAGACTAATTACTAGATTATCTAGGTGTCTCTATATAGGTTGGTTTATTGATTAAAGAGATCCGGTCACGTCGCTTTAATCATCATCTCAAATCGGTGAATAAAGATGAATAATATTGAATAATATCATATTGTGTATTATATGAATTAATCAATTAATAACACAATGCCTTATCTGAAACCTGTTGTTGTCATGTACCTTTATCGCCAGGCAATGCAGTTTATACAGCAGACTAATAGTGTCATGTCATATGCGCATCTTTCGAGAGAGCCAATAATCACGTTAACTTGTCTTTCCGTATGAAGCTAGTGTAAGAGCTACGAACGAGCCACTGTCAAGCAACAATTAGTGTATCGTGGATAGCTTACAACATGTCCGATATGAGACGCACATAACGTGATGTGAGATGTAATGTCTGTAAGCCGGCTTGTAAGAGCGCTTGCTATCCGGAGAACTGCAAGCGTGGAAACTGGCTGCTATTGCTGCTATATAATCATATAAGAATTCTATATAATATCCTATATTATATCCTATATGATGCATCCAAACTGAGAATTGAAATTATCTAAAACTGTGGCGCACTACTGTGTGCGTGTGTGTGTGCGTGCGCGCGTGCGTGTGTGCGTGCGTGTCTGTGGAACAACTAAAGTATGACAACACGTACTTTTTATATGAAACATTTTATTTATATCTTGGCATATATCAATATAAAATTATTAGGCTAGAATAATCAGTAGTTCATTCATAACAAACGCATAATATATATAATAGGTAATAACTTTTAAAACGTGCGTATTTTTTACATGATTCTAAGAGCTCTAAAAGTGATACATGAGGCCATTTGTTGACTTCTATGCTAAAAATGTGGAAGTCGTGTTACACTCCCCTGATAGTAACAACACGTATATATATATATATATCTGATCTGACAATTACAGTATTTATATCTGTTTAACATTAATTGTGTGTATATCTCTATTGAACGTAACAATGTGTATATCTGCATTGACAATAACAGACAGCATGTATACTTCCATTGCCAGTAACAGAGTTTATACCTTCATTGCCAGTAACAGAGTATTTGCCTCCATTGCCAGTAACAGAGTATATGCCTGCATTGCCAGTAACAGAGTTTATACCTCCATTGCCAGTAACAGAGTATTTGCCTCTATTGCCAGTAACAGAGCGTATATCTGCTCTGACAACATTAGTAATGGGGGAGCGTTATATTAGCCAGGGGCGTCGCTATGGCAACCGGGCTCAGAAGACGCTCGCTATTGGCCGAACAGCTGGGCGAGCAAATCGCTGATTGCCGACGGGATCTCCTCCTCGTCGTTAAAGCTGACGACGTTACGGGACGCCGCCCCCGCCCCCGCCCCCGCCCCCGCCCCGCCCCCGCTCCCGCTACAGGCTTCCTCCCGCTGCTGCTCGCTCTCGCTGCTCCCACCCCCACCCCCGCTACAGGTTTCTCCCTACTGCTCCCCGCTGCGGGCTTCCTCATACTGTTTCCCGCCCCCGCCGCGGGCCTCCCCATGTTGTTTCCCCCGCCCCCGGCTGGCGGGCCTTCTGCATGTTGTGTCCCATGCCCCCGCTTGCGGGCCTTCCCATATTCGTTCCACCGCGCCCTTGCTGCGGGCGCTTCTCATGTTGTTCCCGCCCCCGCGCGGGGCCCCTCATACTGTTTCCCGCCTTCCGCCTGGCGGCTCCCCATGTTGTTCGCCGCCTTCCTGCCTGGGGCTTCCTCCGCCGGTGCTGCTCAGCTCCCGCCTGCCATGCCTAGCGCTCGCCGTCGTTCATTGGTTCTCATCTTCCCGCTGCCCTCGCTCGCCCTGCCCTGCCTTCCTCTGTCGGGAGCCGATGGTGGATGCCGTTCCTGTTGAACTCTGGATACGGGCCAAGAGGTTTCCCTGCCGTGCCAGCGTGCAGCAGCGCCCTTCCTGTGGTCGCCTCACGACCGCTAGCTGACCGTCCGCTACCTCTTCCGCGTATCTCCCACTACCCTACGCTACCGCTACCACTACGCTTACCGCGCGCCGCCGCCGTCGCGCTGTTTCCTCTGTCCTCGCTCTCGCCTCCTCTGGGGTGGATGCAGCACCGGCGTCGTTGCGGGAACGGAGGGAGCGTTCGGAGCGCTGCGTTCGCGTTCCGGGCTGCACGCGGGATCGCGGGGGTCGCACCCGGGCGCCCGCGGACCGCCGACGACGGTGGTGCCCTCCTCGCGCTTCGCCGCATCTCACGTCCGCTGGGTGGCCACTTCCTCTCCTCCTCCTCTTTCATTCCTCCTCCTCATCCTCCTCCCTCTTCCTCCCGACGGCTGTGAGACGGTCCCTGCTGCCAGACAGGCGGGGGTCAACGTGGGTTGCATTCTTGCTCTGAGCAATATTGAGATGGTCCCTCCGTTGACAGGCGGGGCGCGTGTCACGTGGGTCGCGTCTTGCGGGGTCACGTGGGTCGCAGTCTTGTTCTTGGGAATATTGAGACGGTCCCTGTTGACAGCGGGGGTCACGTGGGTCGCAGTCTTGTTCTTGGGAATATTGAGACGGTCCCTGTTGACAGCGGGGGTCACGTGGGTCGCAGCCTTGTTCTTGAGAATTTTGAGACGGTCCCTGTTGACAGCGGGGGTCACGTGGGTCGCAGCCTTGTTCTTGAGAATATTGAGATGGTCCCTGCTGCCGACAGTTGGGGTTAAGTGGGTCACACTGACCGGCTTGTGGTGAATATTGAGAAGGTCCCTGCTGCTGACAATTGGGGTCACGTGGGTCACATTGAACGGCTTGTGGTGCATATTGAGATGATCCCTGTTGGCAACGGGGGTCACGTGGGTCACACTGGCCGGCTTGTGGTGCATATTGAGATGATCCCTGTTGGCAACGGGGGTCACGTGGGTCACACTGACCGGCTTGTGGTGAATATTGAGAAGGTCCCTGCTGCCGACAATTGGGGTCACGTGGGTCACATTGACCGGCTTGTGGTGCATATTGAGATGGTCCCTGTTGGCAACGGGGGTCACGTGGGTCACACTGGCCGGCTTGTGGTGCATATTGAGATGGTCCCTGTTGACAACGGGGGTCACGTGGGTCGCACTGGGCTGTTGGTGTATATTGAGATGGTCCCTGTTGACAACGGGGGTCACGTGGGTCGCACTGGGCTGTTGGTGTATATTG